AGTAGGACTTGAGGACCCAAGGGTATCACCCTACAGTAGGACTTGAGGACCTATGCGTCCCGTATAGGGTAGCCCTGGAGGACCTATGGGTACCCCTACAGGGTAGCCCTGGAGGACCTATGGGTACCCCTACAGGGTAGCCCTTGAGGACCAATGGGTACCCCTACAAAAAGTTCAGTTCGTTCGAATGAGCTGTTCTAAAAGTTCAGCTCCTATGAAATGAGCTGTTTCAAAAGTTCGGTTCGTTCAAATGAGCTGTTCGAACAGTTCCTTCGCTCATTTGAACGGAGTTGGTGAGCTGAGCTTGCGTACCCCTAGTGATGATAAGATAGTGAAACGAGCTTGACCTTCATAGATTATCGATGCATAAGTTAGTAATAATAGATCCTTAATCGCTGTTATAACTAGTAAAAGTTTGCAAAACACGAACGACATTGACATTAGTTTTTTTTGGATGGAATATTACTTTACGATAATATTTACCAAAAAGTGCGCGAGTGTTTTCGAATTATCGAAATATCAACGAAAGAAACATTTTCTTGCACATTTTGTTGTAACATGCTTTTTTTAATACTACGATAAGTAATAATTCCATTACGTTCTCGTAAATATCTATTAGGACCTTTATTCGATGTTGCTCTCAACTTTCATTCTACCTCTATTGGCTTACATGTATTTTGGATGGCGAAAGCAGTTGATGAGAAACGATATATGTTTATGAAAAAATGCTTCCGAACACATAGTTGTACCTAACAAGACGAAACAAAAAAGAAAAACAATTTAATCAAAATTTACATTATGTCGTTATATTGATAGAAATAAAAAGAAGGAATGTAAGCATTGGTTTTTTGTTTCTCTTGTATTCTATTCGACGCAATCTTCACAAGAAAAGTGAGAAATGATTCTTCACTCTACAATATTCTGTTTACATTATCTTTTTGTTGACAAAAAGTATTAATAAGCATTTTTTGTTTTTCTATAATCTTCAGTTTCAGCTACAAACCTGTGTTTTTGAGAAAAGTGAAGATGGAACTTCGTTTAATTGATTTTCTGAGAAACCAAGTCAAGGGGAGAAAAATGAATCCTCTAGAATTTCATCATATTCCGGCTGCGGGAATATCATGCGAATAGGGATGATACGATGGTGATACAAAAGATTCTCGAATCTGCCTTTTCTCTTTGATAAAAAGTGATAGTATGAAATATACTGAATACAACCATCAGAAGTTCAGTTATGATGCTCTATGAGCCAGTCTACATAAAATAACGGCTGAAATTGTTTCACTTATCTGATTTTGAAATTTGTTGTAGAAAGGGGAGTTTTACGAATTTCGATGTAAATATTTTGAAAAAAAATATTGTTTCATTTCCAAAGTATTTAAACATTTTTGAGCACGTTATTGCCAAAAACGGCGTATTTTGTGGTCTTTTATCATAGATGTATCCCAGCAAAAATGCATCTGTTTGACTTCAAATACTTAAAGTGCACACATCTCAAGTTTATGTAATTATCTTAAAAAATGAGTTTGAATGAGGGAACTATGGATGAATAATCAGTACTATGAAGTACACTGCAAAATGATCATTTTTTGGTATTATGTGAATATGCGTATTCCACGAACAACGCATGTTAGAAGCCGATATTTTGGCTGTAGAGAACTTTCATTGAGTACTTACTGTGGAAAAAATTCAGCTCTTTCAATGGTTTATATCGCTCAGTAGACCTTCCATAAAGTCACGCGTTTGACCGGAATCGCGATTTTAGCAGGGACCGATGTCATGAAATACCTAATCAATAGAAGTCGTGTTGGTGCAATTGTAAGGTACAAACCGAGCACTATAAACTTATGTAAGAATTAGCGTGGGATCTCCTAGGATCGATTTGGGAGACTTATTGAAAGATACTCAAAAGTGACCCATTTGTCGTGGAAGATATACTCGAATTCATTTTGAAATTAATAGACACATTGCATCAAGTGAAATAAATTCTATCGAATAGAAGTCAGTATACAACCTTCTATGTATTCCCATAAAGAATCCTTTAAACTTGATTATTCTATCTTGAATTTAATCATTTATGGCAAATATTTTTTAAAACATCTATATTGCTATTTATATTTTCATTACTGTTAGCATCATTGAGTAGTACGCACAATCACAGTATATTATAATTTAATTATACATTGTGCAAGCTATATACACGAACAGTCGATGGACAAAACTCTTTCTGACTCTATGAAGTCATTGATGATTTTAATATAAATTAAATATCCTAACAGAATTGTCACTTTTATCCGTCTAAGTGAAAACCGTAGTAATATGTGTAATGCTATGGCTAGTGTATTCAAGAAAAAAGATGTTGAAGCATTTATAATTATATTACATAAAGGTATTCTCTGATTTATTGAAGTATAATCTTAGTGAAACATTTACGAAACGATTTCTGTCTATTTACTTAATGGTAAGTATATGCAGTTTTGAAAAATCGGTATAGGCTAACTTTTTTATAGAATATCCAAATGAACTAAAAATTTTGCTTTAATAATTTTAGATGATAAGCTTCCGATTGCTCAAAAAGAATTAAACAATCGAATTTCGACGACTGCCTCGGTTTTTTTTCATTAGATGAATTCAAATTCATAACACCTCGATAAGAAAGGAGGGAAGTCGTTAAGAGGCAAAAACGGCCCCTCGTCGGAATTCGGCCTTGTCTTTCCAATTTTATCAGTTTAGGTGCCAGAAGTCTATTTCTATTGAAATTAGACAATTTGATGCGTTCCACATTGTACGCGACTCGACTTAGTTATTCTTCTTTTCTCCATGTTATATAGGGCATATATAATGGTAGTATAGTACTTTTAATTATCAGAAACATATCAACCCATTTCAGATTATATACTAATCGATAGATCTTATACCTATAGTCATTTACCTCATCCTGAGAATATGCAATTAAAACATTTTCGTACGAACGTAAAACAACATGTAATGAAAGAAACAACTCCTACTGTTAAGATTTACGAAGAAGAAGTTATTTCGTCTCAAATGCCACCATCAACATTAGCAATGATGCCTTTAGCACGTGAACTACGTAAGAATAATGTATCGTTAATATAAAAATCTATATTTTATAGATTTAATTTTGGAACCAGGTTTAACATATGTTCGAAGAAAAATGACGCCAGCTTTACCTGATTCATGTATATTTGAAATACCTGAATCTTATCAAAAAACATTTAATAACGAACCATTTTTAATTCGGGATATTATAATACGTCGAAGAAAACGAATGTTGATATTTTGCACAAAAACACAACTCGAAGTATTGTTTGACAGTCCAGTGATAATGATGGATGGCACTTCCAGTACCACTCCACCATTCTTCAAACAAATTTATTCAATACACGCTTTACAATATGATTCAAGTAATAAATATTATTTCATTGATTTACCACATTTATATTTTTTATAGATTTTCCATGTGTATTTAGCATTTTATCCAATAACAAACACTCTATTTATCTAGAACTATTTAATGAATTAAAAAGTCTTGCTACTGAAATGAACAGGTCGTTTCAACCAAGTCGTATTCTCACGGATTTTGAACCAAGTATTCTTTCATTAATACGTCCTGAAGTAAATCTTCATCACTAAATTAATAAAAAGTATTTCCTTAAAAAGTATTTCCCTTTATATTTAGTTTCCTGGTGCTATACACACCGGTTGTTTTTTTCATCTAACTCAGGCAATATATCGACGAGTACAAAATCTTGGTTTAAGTTCGATTTATGCATATAATCCGCTTTATCATTTCTTCGGGAAACGCTGATGAAAAAGTAAGAGAGCCGTTCCGAGGGAAATACTATATACAGCTAAATTACAAATAAAATTATGATTTACTATGCGGATTTCCTTCGCGGTATGTTCTAATCTATACACCCTAATCCATACGTCCAAATCTATACGTCACTATCTGTACATCCTAATCTATACG